CAAGTCCTGTGCAAAAACGCATGATCGCACGGGCCCGTCCGGTGCGTTCCAGCCTGGGTTAATGAATATACAAATTTAGAATAATTGAGCAACTTTTACGACTACTTTCTGGTATTCCCGGTATGCATAGCGTGCTTGAGGCCGTATTTCACAAAGCACTTCTCTATCCTCCAGTGGAGCAACGCGCCGAAGCTCTTCGGATCATCCGAAAGGTTCCTCACTGTTCCGTCCTCAATTTTTTAAAAAATATGCCTTCCTTTTCTAAAATTGAGGTTTCTCTTTTTTAAAATTGCCTTGCCGACGTTAAAAATAAAGAGAGAAAAGAAAGACCTGGTTAAAGAGAAAAAATTTGGAGGAATTTAGAAACTCTTTTTTTGCTTCGATTATTGCTTCGAATTTTTTGCCTCCTTTATTTTTTTTAAATTTTCTGCCTCAGCTAATTTTTTGCCTTGACCATTGAGTAATGGTCAATCTGCTATTGGCGATTCTGAGGTTCAAAAATCAATTTTATTATTCATATCTCTTCAAAAAAATTAAAATTTTCGTATTTTTTACGTTTTTTTTTGCAGTTAAGTGTTGTTGTGACTGGTAGATCCAAAAGAGGAAGGTTGGTTTTTTGCTGCTTCCCAATCTCTAAATGATACGATAATTGCTGTATTTTCAGATCACCGGAAATGAGGAACGTCTTGCCGATATTGTGATGGTTTCAGTAACTAGCAAATCACTGACCCTGTGGACAGTTGTCATGGATTGCATTTTTGAATGTAGCAATTCAGCAAACATTGAGCTCGCATCGGATTCGCTTCGAACTTTGCAAGCTTTTGTAAGTTTTTTTTGCTCAATCCCCCAAATTGCATAAATTTTTTAACGGTTAACAATATAGTTATTATCTAAGTTAGCTTTTTGAGCTTACTTCTCAAGCAGTTCTCAAGCAAAAGGTAATCCTTCAGAGCCCTGCTAACTAACGATAGGCAGTCATGAAACATGACCAATTTTTTTTTCAGATCTATTGAAATTGAATTTTTTTTTCTGAAAAAATCTGAAATTTTTTCTTGTGAAGTCTGAAAAATCTGAAATTTTCCAGATTTACTGGAAAAAAAAAGATCCATAAAAACAAATTTCAGATCCATTGGCGGATCCAAGGAGAGGAAGGGGAGTGAGGGGCTCTTTCGCAGCTGTTTTACTGTAGAAAACTGTGTTCGATACCGCCTGTAGCTCCCCCCCCC